GTTTATTGGGGAGGATGTTGTTGATCTTCGTAGTTTTCCCAAAGACCTCAAAATCTCAAGCTACTACATCAAAAAATTAGATTACAATTAGTTGTTTTAAAAAAATTAAACACAAAAAGTAAAATATTATGAGTAAACATTGATTAAAAACGATATGAAAGCATGTGCTGTGAAAATTTGTATTAGTTCATGCTTTGTTTTGTGAGATATATATTTTGTCTCGCTTTTGAAATGAATGTAAACTAAGAAAACATGGAATGGTTTATATAGGCTGTAAAAATGGGGTAGTTAATATTTTAGAATATTTGGTTTGAGATTTAGTTTTGAAAAGAAATAACTTTATTCAATCTCAATCACTAAATTATCGTGATTTTATTGTTAAATATTAAATATTATATCCGAATATTCCATTTTTAGAAGACTTAGAATAGCAAATCATGTTTATATTTAATAGGCGAATTTAATTACCATAAATTAGTAAATTGTTATAAATTAAGATATAATCCGTTGATTTTGCCTACCATAAATTAATGATTTTGATATAAACGATTTAGATTTAAATGATTAAGGAAATATATACATATTATGGATTTTAAATGATTAAGGAAATATATATTCAAAGAAAATCGAATAGGATAATGATTACTTAATAAATAATTTTTCAATTTTTAATATATAATGAAATGACAAAAGTTTATTTATAAAAATCTTACAAATAAAAAGTTATATTATCAAATGTATTTAAAAAATGTTAATATAGATTGATTTGGTTGGTCAAGTTAAAAACTAAATAGTTTAAAAAGTCAAGTACATTGAATATTCCATACTAAGAAAACATGGAATGGTTTCTATTAAAACAAATATTAAAATACTCAATGTTTAAAATTTCGATCAAGATCTTTATAAAATATTTGAAATTAAGAAAATCTTGCCAATTAAGCTAAATTTTAGGCATTGTATCTTACAAATAAAGTTAAATATCAAACGTAATAATTATATTTCCTGTAATATTGAAAACCAATTTTTTTTTTATCAACTGAAAAATGAACGATGGAGATTAAATCTCTAAACCCGATTAACATATCCGTTTAGTTAGTTAGATCCGCGTGTTAACCCAGTTAGAAATGATAATTATTTCATTTTGAAACTATAGAGTAAATTCATTGTGTACTTCAGCTTTAATAGTATAGATATATAAAAGTTGAGGTTATAAGGTTCTAAAGCCGTCCACATAGAATTTTAAACGACCAATAATAATTAAAAATTTCACTAATTAATAATTTTGAAATTATATTTGTATTCTATTTAAAAAATTTTTGTAAAAAGGGAAAAAAATACGATATATGGAAATAAAAGATGCATGTAAAATATTTT